TGTGTGTGTTCGAATCAACATAGGTGCCAGCCAGTGGCAGTCTCGCATATCCTGATCTCTCCTCATATCTATGTTTCAGCTTCTCAGGATCAGATGAGCCAGCATAGACTATGCTGATTTTATTGCTCCTTCTCTGCCCTGTATGCTTTAGGAAGGCAAATAAGATGGATGTGAGGGAGGCGGGCTGTCTGGCCACAAATGCCAACAAGACGTGTCCACAGTACAGTTCATGTGCAGGCATTGGCACACGTTCTCTGGGAGACATGTTTGCAATACAGTGTATTGCATCTCTTCTTAATCCCATCCTAATCCTACCTTCCCATCCCACCCATCTACCAAGCGGTCAACATAATCAGATCGGGGACAGCCACGGTAATCCTTATCACCCCAGAGTGGCCGAGGTAGACTTGATATACTTTCCTGCTTCAAATGTCAATGAGACAACCATGGCGTTTCCCACTTCTTCCTCATCTCCTGATACAGGAACACGGGCATCTTCACCACCAACAACATATAGGCACTCCACTTCCGTGCGTGGTTCCTCAGTGGCTTACCTCAGAAGCAACATGCTCTGAAGAAGTCAAACAGATCTTACTGAACTTTTAAAGCCGGAAAAAAGCGGCGGACATTTTTATTTAAATGCCGCGGGGGATATTTAAATCCCCCGCGGATTTCCCTATTACGATAGCTGAAATTAACATGCCCCTTCCGGAAAAGGGGCCAGTGTAGACGTAGCCTTGTAGAACATCATCAAGAAAATCTTACCTTTACGAATGGCAGAGGTTCTCACGATGAACAGAGCAAAGAAAGTTGGAACCAACCACAGTTTCACTGATGGACATTCTACTATACATCCTAGAGTTGAAAGACTCATGCCTGTTGCTCAGCTCTCTGAAGGTCTATCTATAATAGCAGCTATAATAGCTCTTCACCAACCTATAGATAATAAACCAGTTTTCACCATTCCAATGACCAAACGCTTTAAGGGGTATATGGAATAGTTACCCACCTAACAGGCCTCCTACTCCGGAATGGAACCTTAACTTGGTTCCGCAGGCTCTCACTTCTGAACTATTCAAGCCTATGGTAAAGTGTCTATGCTCCACCTATCTATGAAGGTGGCCTAGCTGGTAGCGCTTACATCTGTTGGAAGAGTTAGTGAGATTGGTGCACTCATGGAAGACCCTCCCTCCATGATATTCCATAAAAACAAGAAAGTTCTCTGTCCTCATTTGAAGTTCCTCCTGAAGATTCTGACCCCCTTCCACTGTAACAAGCCCATAAATGTACCTGTCTTCTTGCTGATGCGAAGGAAGCTGTCTGCACACTCTCAACACCCGTCGGGTGATTGCCTTTTACTTGAACAGAACTAAACCATTCCAAAAGACAAACAGATCTCTGAGGCACGCAGCAGTGCTCAAACACCTAAGGTGGAGCACCCACAGGGACAGCCATCTTGAAGAACCTCCGTTACTGCACAAGGTGTGTAACCCTCTCATCTTCCCATGGTCAGAAGTCTGACCAGTGTAAGCTGATTGCCCAGTTTGCTCCTCGTTCAGTGTGACAGGGATATTCACTAACTCTTGTTCCTGAGAAGTTTTCCGAAGGCCTCCCTCCCCCCCCCCCCCTTTTTTTTTTTTTTTGTAAAACAGATTTATTAACTACAGTTGGATCTCCCTGGTCTGGCACACTTGAGACCTGACTGGTCCTGGATGAGGGATTTTGCTGAACCAGGGGAGGTCATTTCTGGGGCCCCCTGCTGCTGTGGCCTCCCCCGCCACCCCACCAGATTTGCCGACTCTCATTTGTCCCCACCCCCAGAAGCCCAGCTGAGCCACGTGTTGAACTTTTCTCTCCTCATCTCCCACCTCCAACCCCTGCCTTGCAACATGCCAGGATTCTCTGATCCTGGAACAGACAGACCAGTGTGTCCCAGTTGAGAGAGTTGTAACCTATACAGGAAGATTAAGTGATTTTAGGTATACAGATCAAAATTAGTCACCTAAGAAATCAAAGTAAAATCACTGAGAAGTAGACATGATTTAAATTCAGCAGTGTCTCACCCTGATGGTATAGTTCTTTAAGCATAAGCTGGGATGTTCCTTTCCAGTCTGAGACCACCTCCTGAATTTGGTCTTTGTCCTTTTAGAGGAGTTTCTGGGTGTTGAGTTGGGTGTGGAGAGAGAGAGGATGAATGATACTGTCATTTACCCTCCAGTTTGCTGGAAACGTCTTTTTCTGTGACGCAGTCTCCATTGTCTACATGCTCTCTCTGAGAGACCTCCATTATATACAGTTCTCTGTGCGTATTCCCCTTATCAGGTTATCAACTCTGTCTTCTCTGTTGTTGTACCTGAAAGGCTGGTTGGGATGTATTTCAGTAATACACATTCATAGGAAACTATGCATACAATGATAACACATACAATCCAACAGGATATTAAAGTTCAACAGATCAAAACTCATACGTTGTATTTTGTACAAAACATGTAACTATATCACTATGAAAAACTTAAAAAACAACAAATAGACTAGTACCACCTTAAAGACTAAGAAAACATATAGGTCAGGGGTGTCCAAACTTTTTTCAAAGAGGGCCAGATTTGATGAAGTGAACATGCGTGAGGGCCGACCATTTTGCCTGACATTCTTTGAACCATTAAAATTAAATGCAAATTAACTATTTTATGCAAAGTTTATTGCAAACGGCATACTTTTCATTTCGTCACATGGATGACAAATCTAAACAGGTGTTAAATCACTCTGCCTTTCATATCTGAAGGCCAGATGAAAAAAAAATCCAGGAAGCTGAAATATATGTCAGGAACATTGTAAAGTACATTACATATTATTGGTAATAAAGGTTGTCTGTCAACTTTTAAGTTCAAAAAATATGAACAGGAACATAACACCAAGTATACATGTTGTGTCCAAATATATTTATAACTGATTTAGACCAACTGACATTAACTGAGATTTTACAATGTATTCATCTCAATACATATGGATTCGTTGGGGGCCATAAAAGATAGATATTGCCAAATTACCCGGGGGGCCGTCTTAAACCGGAACACGGGCCGCAATTGGCCCGCGGGCCGGACTTTGGACATGCCTGATATAGGTGGTATCATGAGCTTTCATGGGCACAACTCACTTCTTCAGATGACTGCAGTGTTAGAATCCCAGATCCAAGAATAAATAAGGGAAGTGAGGATGTGGGGGGAGAGAAGAATTTCACAGGGATTTCATCAAATTCCATCCTACCATTAACCTCAGCCTGGATCAGTCTACATGAGGGATCCACTTCCTTGGCACTACAGTACAATTAAATGATGGATACATTTCCACCACCCTACACCAGAAACCTACCAAACGCTACACTTACCAGAGAAGTGAAAAAACAGAGCCAAAAAAGTATCCAGACATGAACTACTTCAAGACAGGCCCAAAAGAGAAAACAACAGAATTCCACTTGTCATCACCTACAGTCCACAACTTAAACCCCTCCAATACATTATCAACAATCTACAACTTATCCTGGAAAATGTCCCTTCACTCTCAGAGGTCTTGGGGGAAAGGCCAATCCTCACCTATAGACAACCACCTAACCTCTAACAAATTCTTTCCAGTAACCTCGCAACACAATTCCATCATAATCATCCAGGAACCCATACCTGCAATCAGCCCCAGTGCCAATTCTGTCCATACATCTATACTAGTGATTTCATCACTGGACCCAACCACATCAGCCACCAAATCAGAGGCTCATTTAACTGCACATCTACTAATGTGATCTATGCCATCAAATGCCAGCAATGCCGCACTGCCATATATATTGGCCAAACTGGACCATCTCTACAGGAAAGAATTAATGTACACAAATCAGATATCCACAAAGGCAATACACAAAAACCTGTTGGAGAACACTTTAACCTTCTTGGACGCTCATTAATGGATCTCCACATCACCTTATTGTTTCAGACCAATTCCACAAGTCAGATACACAGAGAAGGATTGTAACTTAACTTCATTTACAAGTTTAATTCTTATGCATATGATATGAACAGGGACATTGGCTGGCTAGCACACTACCTTCCACGTCTTAATGATTTAACCAACCAACCCAATAATGGAGGTGCTAAACGTTCTTATCAGCCTCTTGTAATTATTTGAACCATCTACTCACTGTCTGTCTCTCTTTTTCTCTTTCCCCCTCCTTTTTTCCTTTCTTTTCCCTGTCCTCTCTTTCCTTATTTATTCTTGGATCTTGACTTCTAATACTCCAGTCATCTGAAGAAGTGAATTGTGTTTTCTTAGTCTTTAAGTTGCTACTCGTCTATTTGTTTTTTAAGTTTTTCCTGTTAGACTAACTTGACTACCCTTCTGAAGCTTTTATATCACTATGGCTAATATTAGGGGGGAGAAGTCCTGAGAATCATATATATAAACTGGTAGTATCACCTCTCTGCTCAATAAATTTTTAATTGGAAAAATTCTGTAAATATTCTTTTTAAAAAATTATATAATGTTAAGCATTGTCATAAATTAATATACTGTTTCTAAAACAAATTTGTGGTTCATTATCCTAATTTTTTTTGTTGATACATGTGCTACTTGTAAGACCAGGTCAGTGAGGTAATTTTTTTTTTTTTCAAACTGGACCAACGTCTGTTGGTGTGAGAGTCGAGCTTTCAAACTTACATAAGGTTGTCTTCAGATCTGGAAAACTCAGTGTGTCACAGCAAAATACAACTAAACAACCCAGCATATTGCTAGTTTGTATAATTTAATAATCCGAGTCTTCCGGTCATCCAAATTAATAAGATTTTTAGTGGCTTTTTCATGTGAATTAGTGATATCCGTTTGTAGTAGATCAATATGTTCTGAGTAGTTTTTTCAAATGTAGTATCCAGTTATGTGCTGCTATGATTTAAGACTAGATTGACTTGCTAAACTTTTTTCCTCATGAAATATAAACTTTTTCTTTTTTCTTTTTATAGGAGGAAGTCTGTTGTGCTGTGAGTCATGTCCTGCAGCATTTCACCCAGACTGTTTAAATATTGAAATGCCAGATGGTAGCTGGTATTGCAATGACTGTAGGGCAGGAAAGAAACTCCGCTTCCAGGATATCATTTGGGTCAAACTGGGAAATTACAGGTCTGGTGAATGGATTTACATTTTTTTCTTTTCATATATACTTACTGAAACTAACTTGAAAACAAGTTTTGTACATGGAAATCTATTACACTCGTAGGTTCCATGCTTTGCTGCTACTGAATGACAGGAATATTGCATGAAGCAAAGGCGCCTTTTCTTTTTTCCCCTCACAAACTCCCTGTGTATGCCTCTTCCCCTCCATCGTCATCCAACAAAATGGCAAATTAAATTTAATATGGATAAGTGTAAAGTAATGCACATTGGGAAAAATAACCCCAACTATACGTACAGTATGATGGGAGCTAATTTGGCTATGACAAATCAGGAAAGAGATCTTGGAGTTATCGTGGATAGTTCCCTGAAAACTTCCACACAGCGTGCAGTGGCGGTCAAAAAGGCAAATAGGATGCTAGGAATTATTAAGAAAGGGATAGAAAATAAGACCCAGAATATCTTACTGCCCCTGTATAAAACTATGGTATGCCCACCATACATACATAGTGTACAGATGTGGTCTCCTCACCTCAAAAAAGATATTTTGGCCTTGGACAGGGTTCAGAAAAGGGCAACTAAAATGATTAGGGGTTTGGAACGGGTCCCATATGAAGAGAGGTTAAAGCGACTGGCACTTTTCAGTTTAGAATAGAGGAGACTGAGGGGGGATATGATAGAGGTATATAAAATCATGAGTGGTGTGGAGAGGGTGAATAAAGAAAAGTTATTTATTAGTTCCCACAAGAAAAGAACTAGAGGACACCAAATGAAGTTAATGGGTAGCAGGTTTAAAACTAATAAAAGAAAGTTCTTCTTTACACAGTGTGTAGTCAACCTGTGGAACTCCTTGCCAGGGCAGGCTGTGAAGGCTAGAACTATAACAGAGTTTAAAGAGAAGCTAGATAATTTCATGGAGGTTAGGTTCATAAAAGGCTATTAGCCAGGGGATAGAAATGGTGTCCCTGGCCTCTGTTTGTCAGAGGCTGGAGAAGGATGGCAGGAGACAAATCGCTTGATCATTGTCTTCGGTCCACCCTCTCTGGGGCACCAGGTGTTGGCCACTGTCGGCAGACAGGCTCTTGGGCTAGATGGCCCTTTGGTTTGACCCAGTACAGCCGTTCTTATGTTCTTCTATTTCAGGGACTCCCTGCAACCAGAGGCACAGTGTGCCCCTAAATCCCCTCCACTTCCCTTGCCAGGGGCTGTTTACGCCATACTATTTTGATCCATTTTCCACTCCCCCCTACCTTTCCCCTGCATAGGTTCCATATGCCCCTCTCCCTTCCCAGGGATCCCCATTCCCTCCATGTTAGGAGCTTTGTGTGCCCCCTTTTTCTTGTAACAGCTCCTTACTTAATCTTAGATGTTTCTAGAATATAGAGTTCCTTGTATCCCTCTCATCTTTGATGGTCCCTATTGTATTCCATTGAGGGTTATATGCATGCACATTGAGCTTTGAAAGTAATATTGTTCCTTGCACTGCCTCTTGGTTTTGACAGAGTCAAAAAAAAAAGCAGGTGTCTTGACTAGGCCTGCAGTTCTTCTGTGAGTAGTGTCCCTATGGGTGCCACGCCTATAGGTCTTTAGGTGCCTCTGTGCTTATAATTGGAACTTTTTAGTAGCAGTATTCCCCCTGGGTGCCGGTTCACATGCCTGGGACTGCGTATGACGCAGTGAGTGTGCTGATGCTAGTGTGCCGTCAACCATCCCCTCAGTTTCTTCTCTGTGCTAGAATTTAGTTAGATGTTTTATTTGTTAGTATTTAATAGCGTTTGGTATTCAAGTAATTTATTCACAGGCCCACCCCTCCATGTTAGTGTTAGTTTAAAAAAGAAAAAAAAATGAAGGGTTTTTTCTCTCTAGTTATTATAGTGTTAGCATAGGCATGCCAGACTCACCAAGATTTCAGATAGACACGCCCAGTGTATTTGGTGCCTGGGCCAGGATCATTTGCCCTCAAAACTGCCACCATTGTAAGAAAATGTTGGCTAAGTTGTTGAAAGTGAGGGAACTCCCGTTGAAGCTCCTCACCATGGAGACAGTAAAGAAACCTGCCTTGGAACTGGCTTCGACTGCATCATCGCCCTGTACCTCACCGATGGTAGTCTTGGATCAGGGAGACGAGCCTGCAAAGAAAACGATGAAAAGGAAGCATTCATTGCCATCCAGTGATAGACCACGAAAGAAAGCATCCCCTCAGCACAAACCCCCTTCACCCAGGGCAACAGCTTCAGGATAAGTGCAGGTACCGGGGAAGTTCGGTATGGACAAACCTCCACGGACATAAGCCCTGTTATCTCGGTGCTGAAAACGAAGATCTTCTGTATTGGTGGTACCGAAGGCTCTGGTACAGACAAAATGGGTTCTCAAACCACTATCACGGACTCTGGCTAAAGGGTGACCAGAACCGGCCATGCAGGCACCCACAAAATTGGTACCAACCGTACATACCAAGGGCTCCCCGGCACCGTCAACATCCAAGGCACACGACGAGCCGCTGCTGCAGTGGTTACAGGCCTCCGCACCGACAGTACCAGCTTTACTGCCTCCTAGACCACTAACCACACAACAGGAGTTAGCAGTTGCATCAGTACCAGGCACTCCGCTATTTGGTACCGATGCTACTCCTTCATCAGCAGGACCAAGTAGATTGGTGACGCTGGCAAGCTTGATTCCTTGCTTCTCCAGTGATAGTGAGGATGACTAGGACATACCTCTGTCACCATGCCATTCACTTCCCAAACCGCAGCAGTAATAGCTGGTGCAGAACCAAATTTGGCAGCCTTTCCCATGCCTCCCTCCCATCCCACTCCCATAATCTTGGCAGGGCTGGGATCTCTGGAGTATATCATAAAGGCTCAGATGCTACCACTATGGCATCCTCATAGCATAGATGGCACTCCAGGCATCCTTTGGTACTGCCAACATGGCTTCCAGATCCTTCGCCACATTGGTAGTGATGTGCTGTATCTCCTGGCTGCACCTTTCTGGGTTCCCTAGAGAGGTACAGAACACGGTTGAGGACCTTCCATTTGAAGGTCAGAAACTATTTTCTGCTAGCACAGACACATCCCTGCATTCCCTGAAAGACTTAAGCACAGCTTTGAAAATGCTGGGGATGTGCTTCCCTCAACCAAAAAAGAGGGAATACCAGTCATATGTATACACCCTGTGGCTGAGCAATATTCTACCTACCTCAGAGGGGCTATGAGCTGAGACGCTGGCAGAGGCAACAGAAGCGCAGGCAGGCTCAAGAATAGCAAACAATGCCCCAATCCTCCAATGATAGGCAAACATTTTGAACTGTTGGTCGAGGGCTCGACATCGTATCCACCAGCCAACCATTATAAATTCAGACTGTAACCATTCTACACTTGGTCCAGCATAACAACCGACAAGTGGGCTCTAGAGGGCTTAGCAAAAGGCCTAGCATTTCCATTCTTCACATTTCCCTCAACCCAGCCCCCTTCCCCAGCCTTCTTCAGGGACCCATCTCACAAGTCCCTGTTGCAACAAGAGATAAACAAGCTGTTACAGATGGGGGCAATAGAGATAGTCTCAGAGCATCACAGGGGAAAGAGGTTCTACTCTAGATACTTCCTCACTCCAAAAAAGTCTGGCAGATGTAGACCCATATTAGACCTGTGCAGACTGAAGAAATACTTTAAAAAAAACAATGATTCACCATGGTAATACTGGCAAAGATAAATCCTGCATTAGGAAAAGGAAACTGGATGTCATTCCTCATTCTTCAGGATGCATACTTTCACATAGCAGTAAGACCATCTCACAGAAAGTTCCTCATGATAAAAGATCAACATTATGAGTACTAGTGTATGGTTTGTCAGCAGCACTTAGGGCCTTTTGCAAGATTCTGGCAGTAGCAGTGGCCCATCTAAGAAAATTAGGCATAGTGATCTTCCCTTACTTGGATGATTGCCTGATAGTGGCTCCAACAGAGCAGCAGGCCAAACAGTTCACCGAGGCCACAATCAAACTCTTTTACGAAGCTGGGACTAAAAATAAATATGCAAAAGTCAAATCTTATGCCATCTCAGGAGTTGGAGTGTATATTGGTCTGTATATTGAGTGCAGGTCCAGCTACCTCTGCCAATATTCCACACCCTAGCTACCCTAATAAAAATAATCATAAACAGCTCCATGGTATCCGCCAGATAGTTCCTGCAATTTCTTGGCCACGTCAGCAATATAGTTCCTTACACAAGGTTACACGTGAACTCTGCAAATGAGGCTACAAATGTGCTTCTTCCCTCACAGGCACTCATTACAGGATGCTTAGCCCTACAAACAAGGTCAGGGAATCCCTTACTTGGTGGCTACACCAAAGCAACCTTTGCTTGGGGGTTACTTTCCACCAGCCAACCCCACCTGTCCACATAACGACCTACACTTCACTGTAGGGATGGGGAGCACACATGAGTGGACGCAGTGTGCAAGGAAGATGGTCTCCCACAGAGTCGAGCCTGCACTCTTATGTGCTTGAGTTACGAGCAGTAAGAAGAGTGTGCAGGCACTTTTCCCCCAAATTCAATGCAAGGCAGTAAGAATATACACAGACAACACCTCCTGTATGTTCTACATGAACCGACAGAGAAGCCAGATCATACCATCTTTGCAATGAAGCCATTTCATTATGGACATATCAGCATATCCACAGTATATCTCCCAGGCAAACAAAATGTCGCAGCAGACCAACTGAGTCATTGTTTCCACCAGAAGCATGAGTGATAGTTGCACCCTCAAGTCCTGAATTCTGTTTTCCACAGGTGGGATTTTGTGGAAATAGACTTATTCAAATATCACTCAATTCCAAATGTCTCAAGTAGTATTCCAGGACATGCCTGGGCAAGAAATCCATAGGCGACACCATGATCAGCAACTGGCCTCACAGCTTACTGTATACCTTTCTGTCCCTTCCCTTCCTAGGGAAGGTCATTCACAAGATAAAACATGACCAGGCCAGGGTGCTCATGATAGCTCTCGCA